ATTAAGATGAGTAGAAAAAGCATGTTTGGAGTAGTTTTAAAAACAAGCAGGGCTGGGGATGTAGAAATGGCTTGTTCATGTGTGAGACCCTGGTTCAATCCCCAGTACCACAAAAACAGACCAACAAAAACTGGAAACAGGGCTGGGGTTGTGGCTCAGTGGTAAAGGGCTTGCCTAGCATGTGGGAGGCACTGGGTCTGATTCTCAGCACCACATATAAATAAATAAAATAAAGGTCCATTGGCAACTAAAAAAAATTTAAATAACTGTAAACAATCTAAGTATTCAGAAATAGAAGAATGGATTAAAATTATTTATTACAGTGAAATAGTATATGTATTTCCAAAGGCTGGCAAATGACATGTGAAAACAATGATATATTGCTTAGTGGAAAAGAAACTTATATGCATCACAGTATTTAAGTAACATAAGACTGGATCTGTATATAAGATAATAGAAGCAAATAAAGCATAGAATTATTATCTCTGGTGCTAGAAAAATGGTGGTTGTTTTTTTTTTTTCTCCATTGCTTAGTAGCCATTATATTATCCTATTTGTACTCAAGAAAATCTATTATTTTTATCATTAGAAAGCATGGAACATGTTACTAAAAGTGATTCTTACTAAGTAATCTTTTGTTTTCTTTATAAGGATACTGTCACGAAGCAGAAATGTCCAGGCACACCTATGGGTCAATGTCTGTGGACATAAGAGCATGTAGCAGCACCTCTAAGTTTGAAGCAAGGTCAACAAGCATGAGAGAGCCCAGAATCTAAATCTGAACACCAGTGAAGAATATTACTTCACCTTCATTTTGAGTAAAAGCTCAGGAAATTGGGCCATGGTGGGTTTACAACCTATGAGCCCAGTGGGAGTGTCCATTCGGCTCTGAGATGATTGACAATTTCAATGAAGGTATGGAGAATCACTTTATTTATTTTATTTTTTTTAGTCATACATGACAGCAGAATGCATTTTGACATATAATACATACATGGAATGTACATACATCAATCATATTGTCTATTCTATTCTGCTGCCCTTCCAAGAATCACTTTAATAAGGACAGTATTGTTTATGAAGAAAATGCAACAGATGGACATATATATTTAGGAATGCCTTTAAAGTGGATGCCTAGAGGTTCTTATTTTAAAATAGCATTTGGTCAAAGAAAGAGTAAGCAGGAGGAAGATGGTAAGATACCATGCCAGTGTGAAAATACAAATATCAAGGGCATTTTCATTCTTCTCCACGTTGCTGCTGTGGCAAGAGCACAGATTCTTGAACTCAATTACCCTCATTAAAGAAGAAACACACTTGCATCTATGCCTCCCTGGTAATGCTAATTAAACCACCTCACTGGTGAGATGACAGAAGGATCTATATTGTGCCAATAGAGCAGACCAGATCTGGGGACACCTCTCTGGGTGAAGAAATGCTCTTCCCAGTCTTGGTTTTTGGGTGTTGCACTCTGGTGTCCAGATAGGCCTGCAAGGGTGCTGCTTGCGCTGACCTCATGACTGGGAGCTGCTAGTCAAGGAACCCTGAGGACAGCGGGCGGGCAAGTGTCAAGGCCAGAAAGTTCATGAGGCTGAGCTAACAATGTAAAGTAAAGCCTAGGAACAAGGGTACAGGTGCCAAACTCCTTTGCTACAATATGAGGTTAAGAATTGCCCTACTGTAGAGGTATGATAATTAAATGATTTAATATTTGTAAAGTGGTTGCAACAGTACATAAAGAGGACTTTGTGTTTGTTAAAGTTAACAGTTGCCTTTACTAGTGGTCTAAATAGAATTCTCACCAGCATCATTTTGGGGTGGGGGTGGAGTGGGTAGATTGAACTCTGAGACACTTTGCCACTGAGATATACAGCTAGCCTTTCTTTAATTATTTTTATTTATTATGATGATGATGATGAGATAGTGTCTCACTAAGTTGTTAAGGCTGGCCTCAAACCTGTGATCTCTGGCCTCAGCTTCCCCAGTTTCTGGGATAACAGGTGTGCCATCACAGTGCGCAGCGTCTGGGTCATTTTTGAAAATTGCAGTTTCCTGGACCTTGCCCCGACCTGTAGAACCATATGACAGAATAGGTTGGCTCCAAGAAAAAGCTTTTTTTTTTTTTTTAATGACTACCCTGTGTATTTCTTAAGGACCCTAAAAGGGGCAAAAACATAGATCTGCGCCAATCTCTTTGATTTGCAAATGAAGGAATTGAGACTTGCCAAAAGTCTCCCTGCAGGATCCTAAGAGAATGTTAACACTCCAAGGTTAAAATCCTCCCCAACAATCCCTTTCCCCTTTTCAGCTATTTCCATGTCCTCCAGCAAATTAATCTGTTATATAAAAATACGTGTGAAAGGGGTCAAAGTCACACATACTTCAAAGAAGTGGGTGTGAGGATCAAATAAGACCAAGGCCAGTTAAACACACAAAGGATGAATACGCAAACTGCCACCACCCCTTCCTCGGGCAATTCTCTCAGGCACAAGATGGAATTTTTCTTGATTGGGAGCAAATTGCGCTGTGAGGTTTTGCAAACTGCAGTACCAGGAACTGCAGAAGCCACTCAAGCCTGCGTGTCCCCTACTGATTGATACCTCTGCTGCTGCAACTTGTGGCCACAACTACCCAGAGCGCTGCTGACATGGCCTTTCCTACAAAGGAAGGTCCCAGCTTGCTGTCACCCTGCTGCTCAGAGCCTCCCGAATACCAGTGGGACGAGTACTGCCCCTCAGAGGTCTAAGCCACGCCCCTTATAGTGGACAGAGCTCCAGCTGCTGAGCTGTAGCTCCTGGAACTCATATCTCCCAATGCCTTTGAACTCTAATTGAAATGAATACCACCTCTTCCTGGTGTCAGAAGAGTGATTTGTTACATCCCTCTTGTGGAATTAAGATATAAGGATCACAAAGAACCCATGCTAAAGTAAGATTCCATCCCTAAAAGAAAGCCATTCCCTTATTACCTAAAGCCATGATATAGTTTATTGCAAATATGTAAGGTTTCAGAATTATCTGTTCATTTTATAACCTGTCCCCCATAAACCAAAAATAAAATGTTTAAAAATAAAATGTTCCAAAATATACAAAATTATATGAAGATTTCGGAAACAATGTCATAGATATTTTGCTACGTAAGTTTAGTTACACAGGTGTTAGAACAGGTTTTATGTTTTCCGTAAACCTCCTATTATCTTTTCATGAACTAACATTTTATCTATCAAAATCATTTGAATAAGATTTCCAGTGAATTTTAATTTTGTGGATTGAGAATTTTATGAACATGTTGACTTCTTAACATCCATGTTCTAGAAAGCGATGTTAAGCTTATTGTCTATTGAATCACTCCTTTGCTTATGCAGTGAAACGTAAAAATGGCAGAAAGAGAAATAAATTTAAAAGCCACCAGAGAAAACACTTCCAGTGGCAGGAACACATTCTTAGTGCTTTAACCACTTGTTATTCTACCCTCATAAGTCTTACTCTAATGTCTACAATCACAGGCTTCGACAATAGTGTTTGTTTCAAAAAAGACAACTTCACTTCGTTTCAGAGTGTTCTGAGTCTCTTAACTTCTGGCCAATATCTCAAAAGCGCATGAAATACCAGCAATTTAGCTCAAATGGTAGGAAGTTCTTTAGTACTTGGGACTACCAGGATAGCTCTTGAAAAGTGTCTTCAGATTGATGGACAATTACAACTTCAGTATTCTTTACCATCTCTTAATGGGCATTGAAGTTGTCACTGTCCCAGAACACAGAACCCATGACAGGAAAAAAAACAAACAAACAAACAAACAAACAAAAAAAACCCCACAAACCAAATCCTTATTATTTGGTAATCATGGCTTGCCTTACTCACAGGAGTGTGAAAATCGCTGAAGATTCAAAGAATGACAGTGAGTGAAGAAACTTTTATATAACTGGGGGATTTTTTTTTTTTTTTGATAGAGCAATCTTTCTTAAACCCCAGACCCACATTAGACAAAACAGTCATTTTATCTACTCTGGGTGTTTGTGCATACCTTTGGGTCAGTTTTCTAAAACTCTCACAGTATTGCAGTTAACTAAACACACCTTTTAAAACTGTTACTTTATATGCATCATATATCTGTCAATTGCATAAAGAGTTGTCACTATTGTAACCTTTATTCTCTTCTCCAAAACATCATCGAGTACTTACTTGCACCTTTGAATGCAGGTCCTGCATACAGGCTGCCATGAAAGTTTTACCCAATCTTCTTTGGTCATCAGTTTTGATGCATATTTCGGGAGTCCATACCATCTTCTTATTCAGGATTGTAGATGTCTGAACACGTTCGGAAAATCAATTTAGGACAAGGGTATTTACTCTGTCTTCATCTGTAGCTTCTTCTCGGTTTTCATATTCCTGGGACCTGTCTCTTAAGCTGGGGATGCTGACTCCTGGGAAGGGCCCAAATAGCTCACGTTTCCTGCTTCCCACCTACCCACCCAGCCAAGTGCCTCCTGAGTGTTGGAGCACATGATTCTGCGGTTACCCAATCCTCCTGCCTAGCCATGGCTGCGGGCACTTTGGAGCCACTTTCCCGCCGCCTACTAACCCAGCTGCTTTCCTCAAGTTGTTGCAATTGCTGGTCCAGGACAGTCCAGTCCGCTCTGCTGGCTGCCCCTGGCGACCCACACCCTCTAAGCCCCGCCCAACCCAACTTCCCTCTAACCCCATTGGGGTCCTTTTTAATACTTCCCGAGGAACTGGGAGAAAAGAAACAGGTGCATTAGGTAATAAAGTTATGGGGCGTGGTCATTCTGGCCGGTAAAAGTAGCGCTTAAGGAGAGAAAGGGGGAGCGCTCCCCCGCCTGACCTTGCCATCCACTCTCACCCGCCAATTACGCGGAAGCCGTGGAACAGCTCCACGTGGTGGCCAGAGAGCGGCCAATTGGCTTCCGAGGAGGCGAGTTGCTGTCTGAAAAGAGAAGACGAGCTCAGGATCTCTCTGTTCATTGGCCAGGCGCGTCATTTCTACCGGGAGAGCGCGATTCCAGTGCTGGCGGGAAAGGTCCCTTGCAGTGGTGCTGGTGAGTTCATCGCTGGACTTGGAACGGACTCTTCCTCTTAGGTATGTTACCCCTTTGGTTCTGGGCTAACTGGGAGAATTCATTGGCAGAAAAATCTCGGGCTGGTAGAGAGCAGGAGGAAAAATCCTCTATTCCTGGATGCTTACTATCTTTTCTAGAGAGGGTACCACGTGCAGTCCCTGGAAACAAAAAGAACAGAGATGGGTGAAACGATGTATTGCTTTTGCAGTGCTTAACATGATGTGCTTGTCTTGCTTTCATCAATGTAAATTTACTGTTCCAGGCATGTTCTGCCAGGAAATTAAAAAGTTGCAAGTGTTTTTATTATTTATTCCAGTAACGTCCTCAGAGACCCAACCAGTCTTCATTAGAAGGCATCAAAGAACAGGTTGCAACTCAAGAATTCTTGAACCTTCTCCTCAAAATCCTAACTTTGGTATATCCACCAACCCTAAACTGTTACCCAATCCTATCTAATCCCCCACTCCCCAAACACACACACTAAAGACCAGGTTTAAACCAGACTTCATAATCTCAATATTAGCCCAGCTTTGCTTTACCCTCCCCAGGAAACTACCAGAATGCTGTCAAGCTATTAGTCTCCATTACCTCATAAGCAATAAGCTTGGCTTTGTCTTATCAGCAGGTTGCTTTGATGACATTTCTGAAAGCAGACATTTGCCATTCTTGAAGACCCCTGCAAGACCGAATCAGCCTCTTCCACCTTAACCAACACCCCTCAACCCAGAATCAGTGTTCCCTGCTGAGGTCCCTTCAACCTCCCGTCTAAGAGCCCTCTGCCCCCAAAGCTGGGTAAAGTAGCTGTTTCATTAAGTTGAAATCCAGTTCCTTTTCGTTGTGTTTCCCAAGTGCTGAATCTATTTTGTTCCTAGGAGTAAGGAAACCTTTTAAGTAATCCTTTTGAATTATCTGCTCGGATTAAAAAAAAAAATCTTATGGTTGGCGAAAATCTGCCTTATTTTTTAGCAACAATGCAGTTTGTCTCTGTTATTGTAAAATATCATCATCATCATCATCATACTTCAGTAAAAGAAAACTTCGTGGAGAAGAGAACAGGCATGGGCTCTGATAAATGTGTTTCCCAGGGCTCGCCCTGACGACCGAGACATTCAGAAGGTTTTGTTTTAGACTGATGGCGCTGTCTGAAATAAATACAAAATCAGATGCTTCCCTGGAGAGCCACCTGAGGCCAGGAACAGCCAGTCTCCCCCTCTTCCCAGAGGTCCAAAAAAAGCAAGGAACTGAGGGGGATGGAGGTGGGAGATGGGGTAGTTTAGGAGAGAAGAGGCCTGACAGGCAGAGAACGCAAAGAAAGTAACTAAATGGCAGGGGCAACAGCCACTCACAGAAAGGTGGGCGGTCCTTTCAAGCCCTTAGTCCCACCTCCATCCTTTCTTGTCCAATCCGAGTTTAAGTGGGCGCACTCTCATTGGCCAGACTAGCTGCCTCTCTGTGGAACCCGGGCTGCTGACGTGCATTGGCGCGGGATTTGAATGCCAGCCCTTGGGTGTGCCAGGCGCGCAGCAGCCAGGGAGCCCGGGGAATTGGTGAGCCAGCCTGGTGGGCGAGCGCTCGGGGTGGGTGAGCCCACCGGTTGCTCCGCAGGGTGGGCGCGGGCGCGCTGGAGCCTCTGGGTCTGGAAGGGGATGAGGCTGGAGGCCCAGAAACCTGGGCCAGAAGCGTCGTCCACCTGGAGGGTCCGAGGGCTCTGGATTTTCTTAGAAACTCATTACCAGTGTTTCTTGTCCCACTCTGTGCTGGAGAGAGGAGCGTCGTGGCGGACAAGGACCAGGCTCGGATCGGCCATGATCCCAGTTTCTGGAAAGCGTGGCTGAGCCAGAGAGAAAGTGAAAGCAAGCGAGCGCGCGCAGGAGCGAGCCGGGTGCGACACTGTAAGAGAGGGAAGGGGGGGGCGGGGGGGGGGAAGGACGGAGAAATAAGAAGATGCTAGAAGTATATCGAAGGAAGGCAAAGGAGAGGGGAACAGGGAGAAGGGAAAGGAGAGGGGAGAAGAAAAGAGAATATGAGAATGAGAAATTCCAGGAGAGCTGTCAGGTGGAGATGGGATCCAGGACAGGCTGTATTACTTTTATCCCTTTAGTGTAGGAAGTAAAGCAAGTCCTTTAGGTGAGTAGAACCTAGACATATCCCACTATAACACAGGGTTGGAATAGGAGAGCGGTAAAGTCCTTCACATTTTGATATAACACAGTTTAGTGTATATACTAGAACCCATGTGTGGGGCGGGGGCGGTACTGGGGAGTATTCTTAACATCTTGGCCTTTTCCACTGCAGCTGCTCATATACAAGCCAGTAATCCTAAAATTCATATTTCTTTCTGCTTGATTTGTTTTCCTTTTGTAGTGGGTGTGTTAATTACTTCTGAAGCAATTTCTTTCTCAGACATCATTAGATGAGTCATCATCAACAGTGACACCCCACCCAAATTTTCTGCCTTCAAAGATCTTACAGCTGGGCTCAGTTCCTCAATTGTTTGTCTATTTTTACCACCTCCACCCCTTCTTTCATGTTTAAAAAGTATACCTTTGGTTAAGTGTTTACTGATAATAGTACTGGCAGTAATATTTACTGGGCAGCCTATTAAATGGCATTCACTGTTTTAAAGGACACTTTTTAATCTTCACAACACCAGAAGTTAATTCTAATAATGCCCTCATTTTAGATAAGGAAAATGATACAGGAAGTAGTTAATTGTTATTTCACAGGTCATGAAACTGGGAAGTGGCAATCTTATAGTTGAGCCCAGATGTTCTTATAAATACTGTCATTGATATAGTACACTTTCATATTCATATCTTGTTTAAAATAATTGTCTCTTTTTACAAACAGGAAACTAAGGTTCACATAGGCTAACTGGATTTCCTTAGAAACTCATTACCAGTAATTGAGAAGTTCCTGCACCATAGTGAAGTGGTTACAAGAATAAGCACAGTCTTTAGATGACTTCCACTTGCCAAAGAGTGCAGAGGAGAGTGCATAAGTAAAATGACAAGGGAAAGAAGCAATCCAAGAAGTGAACATTCCACAGCTTTTCTGTCCACTTTGACAGATCAATGCTTTTTCTAGAATGAAAGAGACTTAAAAGCCAAAATTAAAGGCAACTTTCATACCTCATCTGGATTTTGGGTTTAACAAATTAGTGTTGTGATTATAAAAGAAAATGTCCTTCATTTTAGAAATAGAATATATATTTTTTACAAATAGCCAAGTAATAGAGATAGTCTAGGTGTCCATCAGCAGATGGATAAGGAAAATGTGGTATATAAACACAATGGAGTTTCACCCATCCATAAAGAAGAATGTGATTATGTCATGTGTTGGTACATGGATGTAACTGGGGAACATCATGCTAAGTGAAATAAGCCAGACTCAGGAAGTCAAGGGTTGAATGTTTCCTCTCATATGCAAAAGCTAGAGAGAAAACAAGGAATTAAAAAGGCAGTGGGGGGGAGGGTCTTATGAAAACAGAAGGGAGAAAAGTAGAGTGGAAGCTTATGTAAACTTTTCAGATTACTTTATGAAATCCCATTCCAAATTTCTTTTATCTTCAGGGTATTAACCAGTTCCTTTCCTACCCTTTTCCTTAAATTTTACCATCTCTCGCATCTCCATCTTAAATAGAGACCAAATTTTAACTCAAGGTAAGTAGAAGAACACACTTTTGAATTCTCCAGCTATAGATTTTTCTATGGGTTTTAATATTTGCACTTGGACAGATCTCTCTTCTCTAAGCTATCCTTTCCCCCAAGTTTAAAAAAAAAAATCTAGATATAACCTCTTTCCCACTGTAGTTGGGATTCGCAGTTAGAGATAATTTTCATAAAGTGTCAAGTGTAGTGACTGACACATAATGCTCTATAAAAGAAAGCTTTTATTGTTGGGGTGATAATACTTGGTGGATAAATTATTTGCTAGGTTAGTATCTCTGGGGAGGGCAAGGCCAGAGCTGAAGAAGGAAGTTCATCTCTTCCTCTACACAATTAATGACAGCTATGAAGATACTGCTGTAACTTGAACCTTTTTTAAATTAGTGTTTCAGCTGAACTGCCTATTTCATCTTCAAGTCATCATGAGCTGTAAGAAACGCAGGTCACAGAAGAACTTGTTTGATGTGAAAAAAAACATGAAAATAGAGAACTATTTTTCTCAGGTATGTTTGTAAATACTATTTATGTAATGAATATGCTAATGTTAGATTTAGCCATCCTTGAGTCTGTATTGCATAAATCTTCCTGCCAAGAAATCATATCATTATATATTGGAAATATTTATATAAGGTAAGAACTTTCTCATCCACTTTGTTTTATATATATATATATATATATATATATATATATATATATAATTTTGGTCATATCACACTAGCCCTTAAAAAAAAACTGGTAGTAATTCCTGGACAACCATAAAAACCAAATAACTATATTAAACTTTGGATAAAACAAAACCAAAATTAATCTATTTCATAGCACAGAAATACCATGCCAAGTGTGACTGATATACTGAATCATAATAACCTACATCTGTATAGTGCTTTACAGTTTTTGAAACAAATTATTTGCTTGTTTATTCTTACCATAACCATGTTAGTTAGGTAAAAGAGTTTACCTCTAATGTGTTTCCTTGAAAAGTTCCTATATGTGCCCAAGAATACTTTGACAAGTTGGAATTCTGTTACAATGCGCCCATGGGGTACATGAGCAAGATGTTTCTGACAGCATTAGGCTTTAGAGATGCCTTTTGAAGATTTGCACACGTAAATTTACATTATCTTGTGTTCTTTTTATCTCTTTGACCCAGACTACTAGTATTTAACAAATTTACCCTATCATGCCAGTCAGGTTGCTAGGTTGTGCTACACAATGATATTAGGCCTAGTCTTTACGACAATCCTGGCTTTGTTATTCCCATTACCAGAATGTAGTCTTGCTAGCATATGACCCCATGCCTGTTCATACTCTCACCGTAATGAGTAGGACTTCAGGAAAATGTACCTTTTAGACATAGGTACATTTTCCTGAAGTCCTATTCATAAGCAGTTGCTCTTAATTTTTCATTAATTTTTTTTGTGCTGTTTGACTAATCCTCTTTAATTCCTTCCCCTTCCCCAGCTCCTGGTTCTTAAGATGATACCCTATAAAAATCAGTATTATGCATGCTTGTAATCCCAGTGGTTTGGGAAGCTGAGACAGGAGGATCATGAATTCAAAGCCAGCCTCAGCAAAAGTGAGGCACTGATCAACTCAGTGAGACCCTGTCTCTAAATAGAATACAAAATAGGGCTGGGGATGTGGCTTATGGGGCAAGTGCCCCTGATTTCAATTCCTGGTATCCTGCCCCCGCCAAAAAAAAAAAAAAATTGAGTATCATGAATGCAAATTTTACCAAGAAAAAATGTTTGGTGTCATGGAAAGGAATATTAGACTTAAGTGTTGGTATTCTGGCACTCACTTCATTTAGTGGTTATTACATGATGCTAGGAAAGGCACTAACAAGAAAAACTTTCTATACCTAAGTTTCTCCATCAAAAAGACAAAGAGAGGCCATATTTGTTTCTTCTCAAGTCATAGAATTTGGGTATTAATTGATGTCATAGAGGAAATAAGTTAAGTTTTTTGCATGATAGGTTCTGGGTGAGTGAAGGTATTCATTATTAGAAATAACTGTTTGTATGACCATATAATTAGTTAGCTAATGAGGATTTTGTTTAAGATGTAAGGCCTAATAATAAATCATGGTGATGTATTCTTGCTGAACTTGGTATTTTTAAAAATTTTTTGTTTTAATTTTTAGTTGTTGATGGACCTTATTTTATTTACTTATTTTTATGTGAGTGCTGAGAATCGAACCCCGTGCCTCACACGTATGAAGCAAGTGCTCTACCAATGAGCTACAACTCCAGCCCATGAACTTGATATTTTTTTTTTTTAATATTTATTTATTTATTTTGATTCTCGGCGGACACAACATCTTTGTTTGTATGTGGTGCTGAGGATCGAACCCGGGCCGCACGCATGCCAGGCGAGCGCGCTACCGCTTGAGCCACACCCCCAGCCCCTGAACTTGATATTTTAAGAACAAAATTTTCAGTGCAGTTTATCACTGTTTGAGAAAAGTAAAAATTTTACAACTGAGAATAGTAAACAAGACATGAAGTGATACTTTAAGAAAGCTGGTAGCTTTTTAAGCATGTGTCTCAGAAAAATGCACCAGCGTATCATATTCGGAGCTTATCTGACTCATGTGATGTGACAGTCTGCTCAGCTTATATTCTAGAGCTGAAGTTAAACTCAGATCTAATTATATTCACTGGTTTTTTGACTATGAGTTTCCCATAGAAATTCTGTGAATTGCATATTTAAAAAGGAAACAAGCAACAACAACAACAAACTAGGGTTCTATTCAGAGTCTCAAGGTTTTTCTTCTAACATATGTTTTTAGGTCCCAAAAGAACAGCAGAATAATTCCGGTATTATTCAAATGAAGATGCAATCTAGAAAAAGGCCAAGAGATATGACTAACACCCAGGATCAAAGTTCCCACTCACCCAGGAAAACTCCAAAAGTCCAGACCACTTCTCCAAACAAGATCATTAATATTATCTTGGATGTAAACCTTAGAAAAAACAAGAACATGAAATATATGCTCACACACAGCGAGGGGGGCAGCTTGCTGGCGGGGCTCAAGACCCTTGATGCTGTCAGAAAAGCTATGGAGACTCGGCCAGGTAAGGAAATGCTGGTGCGTGGCACAGAAGGAATTGAAGGCTTCTTAAACCTTGGAATGCCACTCAGTTGTTTTCCTGAAAACAGCCACGTGGTAATTACATTTTCCAAAAGTAAAAGCAAGCAGAAAGAAGATGGCCAAGTATTTGGCCGGCTCAACCAGGAATCTACTGACGTGGTCAAATTTTACATTCATGCAATTGGGAAGATCAGAAAACGAATTGTGAAGCGTGGGGAACTTCACAAAGAAGGAAACAAACTCTGTGTCTATGGTTTCAAAGGAGAAACCATCAAGGACACCATGTGCAAGGATGGAAGGTTTCTTCCCTTTTTGGAGACTGACAATTGGAAGCTCATTGGTAACCTGGACTCCATTCTAGAAAACTCACAGCTGATAGATGAGTTAGAAGGTAAGCTCTTTCAAGTTGAGGCTGATCAAGTAATGAACCCTAAGGCAGCAGCTGCTCAAAACAATGAGTTAGAAGAAAGAAACACCCGTGTGTTGAAAGAGTACATTGTGGAAGAGTATCCCTGTTTGAAAAGAGAAAGTGAAAAAATCAGGGAAAACTTGAAGGAAAAAATGAAAAAAAGACAGAAGAATACTTCTCTATTTAAATTGCATAAAACAAATTTTGGGAAATGCACAAAAAACTCAACTCCAGTGAAAGTAATCAAACATCTTTCACAATTCAGTGACTCAGTGGGGTACATATTCTGGAACAATAATGGAAATGGAGGCTGTGCCACCTGCTTTGTTTTTAAGGGATTGTTCATTTTCACTTGTCGGCATGTAATAAACGATATCGTGGGAGAAGGAATAGAGCCAAGCCAGTGGGCAGATATAATCAGTCAATGTGTAATGGTGAAATTCGATTATGAAGATACCCCAGTCACAAAAGACAACTGCTTTCTCATTGAACCTTGGTTTGAGATATCTGACACAACTCTTGACTATGCCGTCCTGAAACTGAAAGAAAACGGACAAGAAGTACCTGCGGGACTGTATAATGGGATTGGTCCTATACCGTATAGTGGTTTGATATATATTATTGGCCATCCAGATGGAGAAAAGAAGCATACTGATGCTTGTGTTGTGATTCCTCAGGGTAAACGAGAAGAGAAATGTAAGGAAAAGATTCAGATGAGAACAGCAGCAGGTTACTATAAATCTGAGTTTATCCACATGTACACTCAAAGAAGCTTCCAGGAAATGCTTCAAAATCCTGATGTGATTACCTATGACACCACCTTTTTTTTGGGGTCTTCTGGCTCTCCAGTGTTTGATTCAAAAGGTTCCTTGGTGGCACCACGTGTCTGCTACTGAGTGAGAAGGCTCATATCATTGAGTTTGGCCCGGCTATGAACAGTATCCTCTCAAATATTAAGCAAAACCATGAAAGATGGTATAATGATGTATTTCTAAACCAACAGGATGTAGAAATGCCAAGTCAAGAGTACTGAGGACTGGTGAGAATTTAGTCCACTTACCAACTTTAAGGGAATTGCCTATTTTATTCCATATTCCATGGTCAATTTCATAAAACATATTAATAATCAATATTGCAGGCCACTTTCCATGAGCCAAGCATTTTTCTATCCCCTGGAGAAATAAGTTCTAAGAACCCTATGAGGAGGAGAGCTACCCCTATTTTAAAGTCAAGCAAAATGAAGACTTGATATGATTTAGCAACATTTATAATGACAATCTCCAGTAACTTGATGTTTTTTTCATTTCTTCCCCTAAATTCACTTGCTTCACAGCAGAAGCTTAGACTTGTTTACCAATTATCCCCCATATCTGACACATGGAAAGGAAATGCTTAGAAAAATGTATGGGTCAATCAGGAGCAAAATATGGCACTGTAGTTAATGTTAACTGAAGAGTTAAATGCTTGGTTAGAAATGATTACAAACAAAAATCTTTTACAATTTCTGAGATTCTCATATTATTAAATGTCAGAATACACTTGTCCTGGAAAGTCAGAAGTAATATCCACTCTTTGGTGAAGGTGTTCCTGCACCCGCTGTCTGACAGGGTCACAGTGTAGGGGATGCTGCGGCAGGGCCGCACCATCTGGAAACTGGAACCATTAGAAATGTTAAGTATTTTGTTTATGATCCTCATGATATGGATAACAGGGCATATGTCAATCAATAATAAAAGTACATATTGCCTGAGATTGCAGGAAAATTCCCAGAATGAGACTAAGGATACAATTGAGACATGCCATGAGGTGCATTTCAATCTCTCTCAGGATACAAACAATGGTGTTATTCCTCAAGCCTGAGCAAGAAGAAATATTTATCCAATGGTTAACAATTTACATTAGCCCCCCAACCCCATTCTAAAGCCACAACCTGTACAACAGCCTAGCTACAGAAAAACAATTGCTGTGCCAACAGTACAAGGACCACCGTATGTAGCTTATGGTATCCCCCTCGAGGACAAGAGGCTAATAAAAATACATTTCCCCAACCAATAGACCCTCCTTTGCCTTACACAGAAACTAATGATAAAAATGGAAAACACACAGTTAACATAAATGACAAATGGGTTGAGGGATAAAGCCTGCCCTTTAGTTAAAGATTACAAAGACATAAAAATTGGTGTGCTTTGACCAAGGATCAAAGAAGTTCTTTAAGAAAGTAGTTGAATAGATCATATGAAAAAAAGAAATTACCTTGGAAATTAGAAATAGAATAATGTAAAATTAACATAGATATATTTTAGAGGTACTTCAAAGTAGTAGGCTTTTAAATAATAGACTTTCACTATTTTAAGTGTGTTTTAGTGAGATTTTAGTTTAGAAGTAAGAAAGCTTACCAATAACCATAAGTATGCTTTAAAGTTAAAGATTAATGAAATAATTATAGGTATGCTTTAAAATCAGAAGTGAATAATAGGTCAGTAGTCATATAGTCTAGTTGCGTCGCTAGCACCTAGTGATTGAGGTGAAAACATAAAAGCTTAATCATGATTGACTAAGGTTACAGAAAAATATTTTGAACAATGTACTCAATATCTTAGGTAATCAATGTATGTAGAAAAGATTGTAATTCTTGAAAATTATGTAAATCAAAAAAGTTTTGTGCTTTGAAGCTATCCATTAACTACCTGAAAAAAACACCTGTAAAAAAGGAATAAAAATAAAGGTCCCTCCAGGGGCAGCAGAGATGTCTTCTGGAGGTTGCTCGGAACTTGCAACCTGTCGTCCCGACTCTTCTTCTTTCGACCACTCCTCCTTCAGGGCCCCTGGAACCCCACTCCCCCTGGCCGGGGCTGGACCTCAGCAACTCTTCCCATATGAACAGGCTACGAGGACAAGGGCATCTAAGAAGGTCATATTCCTTTATTCTGATTTCCTTTGTTTTAACCTAATGTCCTTTTTTCTGTTCCAAGATCCCACCCAGTGTAGGCATCACATTTAACTTTCATGTCCGTGGGCTCCTCTTGGTTGTGACAGTTTCTCAGACTTCTTGGTTTTAAGGCTGCCCGTCTATTAGAATTTGACAGATGCTTTTCTGATGGGACTGGGTTGTAGACTGGGGAGGAAGTTTATAGAATGAAGTATCATTCTCACCCTACCAAGGGATCATACTGTCAACATGATCCATCATTGGTGCTGGCCTTTGTCCCCCGGCTAAAATAGTGTTTTATCATTCACGTATTACCCTACATGGTACTCTTTGGGAGAAAGTTACTATGCACAACCCATGTTTGTGAAGTAGAGACTTAGGTTCTCCTTCCTTAGGTAGGGGACTCCTGGAGAATCTACATAATTTATTTGGGATCATTTCGCATGGAGATTTGTCTCTTTTCCCCATTCATGAATTCCATCATCAGTATAGACTCGCAATACCCTTAACTCCATATGGATCCATAACCACATGGATCATTTTCACTCCCTCCCTTTGCCTACCTATAAATTCTCTACTCTACCCACAGAAAATAGAATTTTTATCATACCTCAGTAATTTATTTAACTGTTTGATTCTGGTATGCAGTTGGCACAGTGGTGCACACCTGTAATCCCAGGGAATTGAGACACTTGGGCAGTGTAAACTCAAGGCCAGCCTGAGCAACTTAGCAGGACCCTCAGCAATTTAGTGAGACCCTGGCTCAAAATAAAAAGTGCTGGGATGTAGCTCAGTGGTAAAACACAGAAGCAAAATGTATCCAGAGGAGAAATATATCAACAAAAATGTGTTTGTGTGCAATTTCTTTTGCTTTTAATCTTCATACTCTATTCCTTCCCAGAGTTAAGTCAGGACCTTTTCCCTCAGCTCTTTGGCAGTTATTTTATTCATTTATAATTCAGTTATAATATAATAACTTTAGACTGGTCACAGCCTACATACATTCTTCCCTTTGATCTTTTGAACTCCTAAATGAATTTTTAAAGTTGTGTATACTAATGATTTGCTTTTTTGTGCTGTCAAATTCTATAGGTTTTAGCAAGTACATGATGTCATGTATTCACCATTGCAATGTCATACAGAGTAGTTTCTCTTCCCTAAAAATTTCCCTGTGCTTTACCTGCTTGTCCTATCCCTCCCTCCTGCACCCCTGGCAATCACTGATCTTTTTTATTGCCTTTATAGTTTTACTTTTTCCAGAATGTCATGTAACTATAATTTCACAGTATATAGCATTTTCAATTTGGCTATTTCATTTAGAAGGTTTCTCTGTGTGTATTTTATGGCTTGATAGCTCACTTCTTTTTATCTCTGAGTAATATTCCACTGTATGGATTTACCACGATTTGTTTATTTGCTCACCTTTCAAAAGACATCTTAGTTGCTTCTAGTTTTCAGTGATTTTATGAATAAAGCTTCTCCAAACATTTGTGTACAGCTTTTGGTATGAATGTAAGTTTTCAACTCAACTGGGAAAATACTGAGTGCAATTGATGGGTCGTATAGTAAGAGAATGTTTAGCTTTGTAAGAATTTGCCAAACTGTCTACTAAAGGAACTCTGTCATTCTGCATTCCCACTAACAATGAAGGAGAGATCCTGTTTCCCCGTCCTCACCAGCATTTGGAACGGTCAGTTTTTCTTTTCTTTTCTTTTTTTAAATATTTTGTTTTCTTTAGTTATACATTACAGTAGGATATATTTGGACATATTATACATACACAGTAGTCAGTTTTTCTTGTCTTTTTTTTAAAGGCATATTAATACTGCCTGGGATTCTTCAGGGGATACAAGATTTATTAATGAAGTTGGGAATGTCTTGGATGATCTAGGACATGGCTACAGAGTTATAATATCAGCCCAAATTCAGTCAGGAAAATGGGGCTGCTATAAATAGTTTAAGAATAAGGTATTTAATGAAGAATTAGGGTATTGCTGAGTACAGTGTTGCACACTTATAATCCCAGCAACTTGGGAAACTGAGTTAGGAGGGTTGAAAGTTTAAGGCCAGCCTCAGCAACTAAGTGAGACCCTGTCTCAAGATAAAAAGAGCTGGGGATTAGCTCCAAGGCAAAGCCTCCCTGGGTTCAATCCCCAGAATCCCCCCTCCAAAAAATAGGAAATAGAGAATTAAGGTGTCTGTGAGTAGTAGAGGCAGGAAAAGGAGTTCTGTACTATGTCAGTAATATGTCAACCTAAAGCACCAGAAGGAGGAGAAAAGTTGCAGATCGAAGTGGAAATGTCTGAGGAGATGCCAGGTCCGGTCATGATGACACTAAGGAATTTACAGAGAGATTGCAAAACGTATACTAATGTTTTGCTTTTTGTGCTGTCAAATTATATAGGCTGCACCAGACCCAATACAGGTGAGCTGGTGGAGATACCACAGGGTCCTTTCTGACTGCCATGTTCTCCCAAGAAATATTGACTAGCACTTTTTTTCTTACACATTTTTCCCATTTGCAAATGCTAATCTAGAACCCTACAGGAATTCTGGGGGAAATAGCCGTCTGCTTCGTAAGGCAGTAGCGGTGGTGCCTAGCAACAGATAATTACCCCCACACCCCCAAATGCAACCCATGCACATGTATATCATAGTTTATCTTCTCATCTCTAATCCCTTCATATCCTCACTCTCCACTTGGCCATTGTAGCTGTTGTTCCAGAATCCCTCTTACCTCTCTGGATTATTCCACAATTATTACTTCTAACCCTCTGTCTCACATGAGCATATTTCTACAAGTCAAACCACTAGACACAGCACCCTCAGACCCAGCTTGTTGAAGCTCAAGTTGTGCTGACTGACCCCCAACCCCAACCCAGTTCTACCTCTTTCCTGATCACAACCCCATCATCCAGACCAAAAAAAAAAAAAAAAATTCAGACTAGAGTCCCTGGAGGCACTTTTAAAATACTTTCCCTCATCTTCCAGGTATACATGGTCTACAAGTCTTGTGGAATCTGTGGTTTTCCTCAAATGAGAGCCATCTTTCCAATTCTTCACTTCTTTCCGTCTCTTCCATCAAAAACATTACCGTGGTAGCCAACTTTCACGTAAGTCTTAATTTTTAGGGCTTTGCTAAAAGTTTAAGTAAAATATCATGATTGACCTCTGACATAATCTGAGGAGGTGAGTATTGTAGTCTTCTCAATGCTACAGATGTAAGATCATCCCCAGCCAGGGAGCAGGTTTTGGGACCACAGGTGTCTGGTTTTCAAAGCCTGGAACCACAGAGCTCACTTAGTGTCATCTAGAACCTGAAAGTCTGTCCTAGATGGCCAGAAGCTCTAAGCTGAATTCTTTCTCCTGGCTTCCCTAGGGACAAAGTGTCAGAAGTGCAAATATCTGGAAACCCCTGAGAAGAAGCTGGGGTGGCAGGCCAAAGGGTGAGGAGAAAGAAGCTCATCAGTTCTCCCAATGGGGAGGGAGCCCATTTCAAGGAGAGTGCCTCATTTGATCCACCTCTCTCTCCCTCCCTTCTTTGCTGGAGGCAAACTCACCCAGGCCTTTGGGCCACTTGTTTTCCAGTGCGTAGGTCTCTGAAGGCCCTGCCTTTGCTCCACTAAACTTTGCTCCTGGCCTCCCGTCTCAGGACTTGGGACTGGAGTGCTTGCTGCAAGGAGAGACACAAGAACCATGAGCCAGGGAGGAGACCAGGTCTCGCCGCATGGTGTGGGCCTCTGGGAGTCCCTGGTCTTGAAGTGTCATGAAGACCAAGCAGGGAAGGGGACTGTTCTACTCAGGGGGATATAGGGTGAAGTGGGGAGTGGTAGTTGGAGAAGCCAAGAGCAAGTCTCAGCAGCCATGACACCCAGCTTCCTTGAAGAGAAGGGAAGGACGTGTGATGAGGAAGCAACCACAGGGTCATCAGAGTGTGTCAGGGAGAAAGACTGCACTGAGTGTCAGCCAGAGCCAGGTGGCCAGAGGAACTGAGAGAAAGGAGAGGGAGTGGACGAGATGCTCCGGGCAGGCGGAGAGCAGGGACAGGACCCACACACAGCTGTGTTGATGCCTTCAGTCCACCACCAATACTGATTTATGTGCTGGGTGTGTCTTTACCCATGGCAGTAGAAAAAAGCCGGCATAGTCCTTTCCCACAATTCCCTGTCTTCTTCAGACATCTCCTAGGTTACTGTATGATTGCACCTTTCCCCTACTCTGTGTATCATTCCCTAAAGGTTTATTCCTGGACTAAAATTCAGTTACAGTGTGATCATTTGAATAACTTATGAAGGATGAAACAGGGAAAAAATGAATACCACCTCTCAGCCTGAATATCCTCATTATTTTCAGATTATTCCATGTTTGCAAATTTGCCTACACACCCTAAAATTAATCTGTCACCCCTCAAAATCAAACACCTGTGGTGCTTCCCCTCGCTTGCAAAAATGCACAAGTGGTGGAAACTTCAAGTTGCCTGTGGCACACATTCCCAGCTGAGGTGAGACAAGACCATGTGAGAGCTAAAAGAAGTTCAGACTTCTTTTAGCTCTCATACTATACACCGCTGTCCTTGTCAGTGTATATTTTACCCTACATTCTTTGCAGTTTTTGATTGTTTGGTGATTTTGCTATTTAAATGGCCCCCATGCATAATGTTAAAATTCTGCCTAGGGTTCTAAGCAAAAGAAAGTTTTGATATGCCTTATAGAGAAAATATATGTGTGAGTGAGTAAGGTGGGTTCAGACATGAGTTACAGCTCAGTTGGCAGTGAGTTCAATGTTAATGAATCATACCACAAATTAAATAAGTTGTTTTTTAACAGGAACACATGTAAAATTGTTACA